TCCTTCTGCTCCTTTCACTTGCACCTTTGAAAATGTTGAGGCAAATGTAACCATCTTTGGACCGTTAAGTAATTTCATCCTTGACAGTGATGGACGCTCAAGTTTATAATTTCCCACACAGAAACTTGTCAAGTTGGGATAAGACTTCAAGTTAGTGGTTTCTATCAGTGGGAATATTATCCCTTTTTCATTTGCCTGCGTAGCTTCCTCTTCTGTGATGATTTGCTCCATTATTTCACTGTTTTTTAATTTCATCTCTGTGAGGGAAACGAGGCCCAAGGCCATGGAAGGTGTTAAGAGATATTTCAAATCACTACAATTACAAATTTCAAGGACACAAGGCTGTTTGAAATCCAAGATCTCTTGAGGATTCTTGTTCCATATTTCCACCAACTGAGGAAATAAAGTCGGAGAGCTTCAAATATTGTAACCCAGAGAAACCAACCTGCCAAGTACATACTTTGGTTATTAACATAAGAATATATCCAAGTAAATTAATAGAAAAAAGAAGAAGAAGAAGAAGAAGCAATAGCTTACTCCTTGCATTTGATGAATAGAATAACTGCAAAAATTGCAATAACAAATAGGGGAAATTTATGGCTCAATTCATACCTTTTCTTTGTAAAATTGATTTATGGTGTCATTCAGCTCAACCGCTGGACGCCCTACATCATCTTCTTGTGTTAATTGTATTCTCTGCAGGCTGGGAGTCCTCACGACTCCGTGACAGAAGGTCTCAAAGTTGGCACATTGATGAGCCACCATTACTTCTTCCAACAATGGGAACTTGAATGTGAAATTTGCAGAACAGAAGCTTGCCAGTCTTGTTAAGCACTTGAGTTTCAAAACTTTTAATTTGCTGAAAACAATCACATCTTCTAAATATAATCCATCTCCTTCACCTCCAACTATTTCTATCAGAGAGTGGCAATTTTCTACAGTGATTCTTTGGAGTTGCACCAGACTTTGGGCTGTTGCAAATGAAAATAAGTTTCTTAACCCTTGACATCTTTCTACCAACAAAGTGGTAAGATTTTGGAAAGATGGCGTAGATTCTGATAAGCTAATCGAATTATCACATCCCAGCACTTTAAGAGATTCAACATTTTGAGCAAGTAGGTCTGAAGCTGAGCCTTGACTCCATATATACTTCAGATCAGGAAGAGTATCCAGCTTCAACTTTCTAAACGGAAATGCCATCTTCCATCTTTCTCCTGACAATCAATGGATGCTATAGAAGGGAACAACTCCTTGAAATGAGAACAACCTATAAAAAGCTTTTCTAAATTGAAGAATCTTTCAATGAAGAAGAATGGAAAAACCTTCGATTCATTGTGGTAGCAGAGAACACAAAGACCTTTAATATTGGAGAAGAGGTCTTCTGGAAATTGGCGAGTACATATCATTGCAATGTCATCACTTGTTAATGATAGTTTCTCCAATCTAGGAATGACATGAAAGCCAATGTCAGAAAACAAAATCTTATACCTCTTGTTAAGGATGTTTAAAATTTGGAAAATGATTGATACACCACCCAGTTTAACACATCTAACAGTACCCACCGGTTCAATTATTAAAATTTACCTTTGAAAATTTTCTTGTCTTCAATTCAAATTTAAAAATATTATTTTCTTAATTATTGAACCGGTAGGTGTTATTAGGTGTATTAAACCAATGGGTATACCCATCATTGTCCTTAAAATTCTATAAGATGGTTTGGAAAAGGAAAGGCGTGCAGTTTTTGTTGTTTGTTAGGAATGTATATGGGTTAGGGTATCCTTTGTGTCCAAGGAAATAAAGTTTTTGGCTTACAAAAAAAAAAAAAAAACCCTTTTGTTAAGGATATTGAAAGAGATATTAGGAGATATGCATTAGTAAAAGTTAATACTAAAAATTAGATAAAATCAAGTACTTTGTTAATGATAAATCAAAGAGAGCTACAATGGTTGAAAGAGAGAGAAGATCTGAGTTCCCCTACCCTAGTATTATACTTGAGTATTTATAGAATTAATTATAGTGTATTACAATAGAGTTCATATATATAGAATAATGCCTTCTAATTCAACTGAAATAATTTTTCATCCTTTATGGGATTCAAACATTTTGTAGTTGCATCAGTGGAGGTTTTTGTTGGAAATGATGCCTTAAATTGCTCAAAGCAAATATGGAAAATTCTAATTGAGTCTTGCATTTAAAGTCATGGTGAGATTTTGTCTTCTAATTTGATTCCAACTTGATTAGGAGCCTTAAGACCTGTATGACAATATATGATAATTGGCAATATATGATAATTCCTATTAGTACTTGAATTTGTACTTTAGTAGAAATCTAAGAACCTTATTTCGAGTATATATTTGTGATATAAGCAAGTTTACTTGTGCGAATGGTTATAGCCCACACCTATATATGGGGGCGATTAAGATTTTACTTGACAACTAGGCTTTGCATAAACCTTTTTTTACACATCTTATTTAAAAATGTAAATTTATTATTCTTACTTAATTTTAATTAATTTTTATATATTTTAGTTAATTTTAATTAATATTTTTTTATATTTTTAGAATAGTAAAAGGAAAAAAAAACTATAACAGCAACGTAACACAAGAGCACTAACAAAGTCTAAAGAGTTTTTGAGTTGGGTGCTGAGCAAAAAGATAGAGAAATGATAATGCGATTGGTTCACAAAAAATATTTTTCAAAAAATATTTTTTATATTTTTTCAAGCAAAATGTTTGAGAGATAACTTTTTTTTATTTAACTTTTCTTTTTATTGTATTTGGACACTTAATATTGTATACATCAATTCATTTATAGCCCATTTGGTATAACAGTTTAATGTAGCAGTTGGCAATTTTGTCCAAACCATTATAAGATAAGTATTTGGTAAATTTGTTTATTATGAAACCACTACAAACTACATATTTCGTAAAAATTTTTATTTAATAGTTTAAGGTTAACATATAGTGATTAAAATTTAAACCATTAGCGAATTAAATTAAAATTTTTTAAATTTTATTTGCAATTTTATTCATTTTAGTTTTTCAAATTATTTGTCACAGTTTTTAATTAATACTTATCTAATTAATTTCAATTTCATTTTTCCTTTTTAATAACATTAAATAAATA